TGCCACCACAGATCCTCAGGCAGCTGCTCTCACAAGACAGCCCACGTGCCAAGCACTTCAGGGACAACATCTGGAAATACAACGTGGCACTCCTTGGTTCTCTGAAGATGGCAACACCAAGAATGTTGTGTACCAAGAAGCGCTGCAGAACTCTACACAAGTGAAATTCTTGGGACAGATTTATAAAATCAGAATAAGGTCAGTACAGCCGTCATGGCAGACTAAATTCTAGCTCTTTTCTTCTTTATCCCGGGCATCGCCGGGTAGCCCAGCTAGTAGTATATATAATAATAATATATAGTAATTACATACAATATATACAAGTATATCCAGTACAAACCCCAACAGAAATAAAAAAGCAAACGATTTCGCGTATATGTACATACTGAACAGTGCCGAGAATTTATTTCCAAACTGATCACGACTGTCGTGTACATGCACACACAGGGGACGGAAAACTCCGCAAAAGAGTTAAGCTGGGTTTACACTACCGACTTTATGTTGGCGAATTGGCGAGTTGGACCAACTTCCCAATTCGCCAACTCCGAGTTGGCGAAAATAGAACATGTTCTAATCTCCCAACTAGTCGCTATCGATCGGTTGGTGGCGTAACCTTGCCGATTGTCGGTTGTATAGTTGGGAAGTTGGTCCAATTCGCCAACACAAAGTCGGTAGTGTAAACCCAGCTTTACGCTGCTTTGCTGAACGATACTGATGTAGTAATACCATGAGTGTCACAACATAGACACATATGAGACATATACAGACATGCATACGAGACATATAGTCTATATTATGGCACTCCTGGTAATACGGCAACGACGTCACACCACAAGTCTAAAAAATGATATCGTAAAACTTTTTTGAAATTGAGTCTCACGCTGACACATCAGAACATTATAGACTTAAGGTAGACTAAAAAAAATTTAATATAATAATCTCCGATACTCGGTCGAATTCACGTATATTCTGTTTTGATGTTGCACACGGTAACATAATGTAGCCCCCACTATCTATCCATATATTTATAATATATACACATTATAACATAACCGTGTCAGTTTCCCATCGACAGCTAATAATAAATACTAATGCATGCAAAGAAACATAGATTCTGGGGCGCGGCCATATTGGATTGTAAGCTGCGAACTTCACTCAACCCTTTCCAACATGTTGCAACATTTTGTGCATGTTCCTGTTGCAATATGTTGCTCGGCTCGCAACATGTTGCCGATGTCCACGCTACTCGTGTTGCAACGCGTTACTTCGTCTTGCAACACCTTGCAACATCTTGCTCAACACGCCACTCACACAACACAAGCGTAATCACCTGCATTCGTCTTGCAACACCTTGCAACATCTTGCTCAACACGCAACTTTTTCAACCTCGCAACACGAGCGCAATCACTTGCACTCGTGCTAAATCGGGCGTATAAACGCGACACCCTTTAGATTCGCTCTGAAAGTTCTTCCGCGTTCGCAGACACTTTCCCATTAGCACCCCTTATAGTACGTACGAGAAGACAGTACCGTATAATTAGAGAAGGCACGCCAAATGCGTTTCCGTCGCGTTTCTTTCTCTGCTCGCATCTGAATGCAAGGATGGGTTGAAAAGCTAACCGCGTCAGCAGCATTCACTCGTTCATTCATTTGCTGCAGCAGAACTGTACTGTATAACAGGGCTGTAGGAATGTCAAGGCGTGGGGACAACCCCCGTACGTGTGATACAGACACTCGAGCATACACACACACACACACGCACGCACGCACGCTTCACCGACAGCACGCGTCTTGGTAAGCGGCCGAACGCAGCCCACACGGCCACGCACACACACACACACATCACACACATCACACACGGGCCGCGTTGCTGCGCGCGCGCGACGCACTGCACGCGCAACACACACACGCAGCGCGCACAGCGGCACACACACACAACACGAGCGGCCGGAGGTCGCGAAGCGCGTACATAACTGGGACGCACACACTTGCGGTGGGAAATGTGTGACGTCGCCTTTTTCAGGACTGTCTAGGACCATGCATATACTATAGTATTTTACAGAACATTCCAGTACCATGGCCTATATTCCAAGACTTTCCACGATCATAGCCTATATTCCAGGAATTTCCAGTAACCCAGTCCATTTTCTTGGACAAAGACCTGGTTCTAAGTCCATAGCCTATATTCCATGACTTTCCACGCCAGGAAAATGCCATATAAAAATCCTCCGACACCATCCCGGCGTTCCAGGATCCATACGAACCCTGCCATAGGATCAAACACTCATACTCGAACACATACTCATCCCAGGAGTGTATAATAATAGATTTATTATATATTATTATATTATATTATTATATATATTATAATCTATTATTATACACTCATGCGCATACTATATCATCAGGAGTCTATCAATAGTTATTATTGATAGACTCTGATATCATCAGTAGTGAATAATAGAGTTAATTATTAGAGTTATAATTAGACTTATTATTCATATAGTTTGATATCAGACACGGACGCGGTGAACTGAGGCAACGAAGGAACGCACGAGCCTTACGGATGTCTACAGTCTATCAATACAGGCCCGTAGCCAGCTTTGTATTGGGAGGGGGGGGGTTCGTTTTTCAATGTTGGCAATTTGCTCGGCAGGGGCGTGTACAGGATTTTGTACCCGGGGGGGTCTAACCGTAACCCGAAGTTGCGAGCACGCGAAGGGGGGTCTGGGGTCCGGAAAAAATTAAAATTTTTAAAATTACACCCCCTCAGATGCGTTTTCTGGCGCGAGCAAGGTGGGGTCCGGACTCCCTGGACCCCCCCCTGTACACGCCCCTGCTCTGGGCCGCGAAGCGACCAGGCGAGGGAGCCAAGCGAACCGACCGGTGGGGAGTGCGGGAGGGGGTGTTCACTGTTCACGCTCCCGCACGATGGAGATTTTGCAATTATTACAAAAAATTTTTTGGCTTGGGGCCGGGGGGGGTTCGTTCGAACCCCCCGAACCCCCCTGGCTACCGGGCCTGCAATAGATATTGATAGACATAGATATCGATCTATTGATAGACTCCTGATGTCTAGGGCTTCATATCACACTCGTTCACTGTACAGCGATCAACGATGACTACACCGGCAAACTACTACTATCCCGGAGAACTGCTAGACTCTCTGACTCACCTAGTAACATCTCATCTTATATTAGCTCATCCATTTCTTCTTATCTTTGGTATCGTCAATATATCACGCAAAAACAAAACCAAAACAGAACGTAAAAACATAATAATAGATAAATAGATGATAGATATAGATAGTAGACTATATATATATAATATATATATATATATATATATATGCACGCAAGCACACACGCAGGCACGTATTACGCACGCACGCACGCATATATGAATGTACATATACATGCACATGCATCTATACAGATACATATACATGAAGAATATAAATATACATACATACACAAATACATACATATACATCAGGAGTTAATAAAGACAAATTTTGTCTTTATTAACTCCTGATATACATACACATACATATAAATATACATATACATACACATATACATGAATATAAATATGCACATAAATATACATACACACGTGTGTGCGTATGACCACGCACGCGTATATACTTCATATACTTCAGCCGCACGTCTTACGTCATAGCGACGTCACGAACAACGCGATGGAATGTAACAATTACCAACGATCCCCGAAATGACACTCGGAGGTCGGAGCTGAAACATAAATAAAACTAACCAAGGAATTCGACAACGAACGCATTACTGGCGACCCTTTCTAAACATTCTTCCAATAGCTAACAATACATTACAATTTTACCAAGAGCTAAAAACACATTATAATATTATCAAGCACGAATAATACATGTATTAATACATGAGTAATTGTATGTAATGTTTGTATGAAATTAATTGTATTGTCTATATACATTATTGATTGTATTAATACACGTATCAATGTATTGTTAGTTCTTGATATTACATTATATATTACTCACACACTACTATCACGTGTATAAATACCCCCACACCCGCCCGCCTACTTTATACGTATACTATATACGAATACTTTATGTGTATACTTTATGCGTATAGTACTATACTTTATACGTATATTTTATACGTATACGATACATGCATACTTTATACGCATACTATATAACACGTATATATACACGTAATACTCTTTCGCGACATCGCAGCAGAATACCTCGAAATACGATTGCAATGTTTGTGCCTCGGAGCGAGGTAACCATAGCGACCGCGCGAGTCAGCGTTTCAGCTAACATCGTGGGACAGACACACACACGCACACGCACACCCACGCACGCACGCACGCACACACACACACACACACACGCAGACCCGCGCGCGAACGTGTGAGTTTTATCTAGCAGGCGGTTTCTTTGCAACGTTAGCACCTCCTTTGCCGAATGCGTGTTTTCTTGGTGCCATCAGTGATCGATTCCCCCGACAGGTTTTCTTCTGACGGAGATCACCCGGGGAGGATGGCGGGAGAGAGGCGCAGCACTGCGACGTGACAGCAGTGACATTGGTGACGTTAGTGACATGGCTGACAGTGGTGACATTTGTGAGATGCTGACAGTGGTGACATTAGTGACAGTGACGACATTGGTGACAGCGGTGACATTGGTAACGAAAATAGTCAGCATTAACCACGACGACAAATGCAAGCAGTGCAAGCACTGGTTCGCAACAGCAACCACATAACACGCCATTGTCGTGCAGGTCTGGGTACGCGAGCACAAAGATAAGCAATAATCTTACAATCTTAAGCTGGGTTTACACAAACGACTTTATGTTGGCGAATTGGCGAGTTGGACCAACTTCCCAATTCGGCAACTCCGAGTTGGCGAAAATAGAAAATAGTTCTAACCTCCCAACTAGTTGCTATCGATCGGTTGGTCACCCAACTTTTGCGTTTACACTGCCGATTGTCGGTTGTATAGTTGGGAAGTTGGTCGAATTCACCAATTCGCCAACACAAAGTCGGTAGTGTAAACCCAGCTTTAGAAGATCGTGCGCAATGTCATTTACACTCTTACAATTCATCCTGCAAAACATTTCAACCGCGAACCACCGTACATACCACCTTACATACGAGTCAAAATATAATAAATACAGATCTTCGTTTCCAGTATTGCACATTTGGTTTCATGCTGCTACTACTACTACTGCTGCTGCTGCTGCTATTGTTTTTGCTGTGCTGCTGCTGCTGCTACTACTACTGCTGCTGCTGCTGCTGCTGCTGTTGTTGTTACTGCTGCTGCTGCTACATTCGGCAAACGAGCAATATTCATGACGTTACTGACAATTTGGGCAATAATTTAATACTGATAATTGATTACCAAACAGGCAATTATAATTATTATACACTTACAACAAGGTTACACATAACTTAACAATACTAGTTAAGCCACATCAAAAGTTTTGGTTAGGCAATGCAGCGAAAACAACTACTTAATCACCCACTCTCTAACTCCATAACCAATCGTTTAAGCTATTATTAAGTTATAATTAAGTTAAAATTAGCTTATTATTAACTTAATCGATAGAGATCCAGATGGACTCCCTTTGCTGTAAGTCGATTCTAACCTACACACTCATGCTGCCTTAAACACATTATACTCCCCCACACCCCGTTCACTTCCATTGCCTAGCTATCAGATACGACTGAACCCATGATTATTGTTTCACGCCCACGATACCACAAAGGAAAAGATCATCGTAATTAACACATAATAGTACAAATCAGTAGTACTGGCTAGTCTCAACCCAGCTGGGGAAGCGAACCTGGGATAGATCAGATCCCCCTATATACAGGAAGAGCCGGGATGAACGCCTTCCTCATCGTTATCCTTCCTCGGCATGGGAAGACTCCCATTTCAAGGATAAACTCCGGAAAATTCCAGACGTTCTATGGTGACGTTCCCTCGCTCACGGCACATCGGGTGGAGCAGGCAGTGTGACCTTTTAGGACTCTCCAGGATACCCCCTCGTTCTGGGCTCGATACGGTGCTGCCATCTATCACTCGTCTTCGTCACTATCGATTCTCTTCAGTTGGTTCTGCCCTGCTAGTAGCCCTTCCTCTTGTTCCCTGGGGAAGAACGAAACGTCACTTGCAACGATCGCACGAGTGCGCATCTGCGAATATCGCCCAATGTGCACACAATATTTTCTGAGGGGAAATCCAGTGTTTAATTATTTGTAGCTATATAAAAATTAATATATAATAAAATAATTATAAATAAATATGCTAAAAAAATCGAGTATGGAACAGAGATTACATTGAATCTTAAATAAGATAATAGTAATAGTAACCTAGATAGCCTAACCTAACCTAATAGTAATATCCACTAATATATGCACATATTCCCATCCATGACAAGAGGTAAAACACAAAATACAATTGAATAAGCCCCCCCTACCCCTAACGGTCCAGTGGTTCTTAACCTTTTTTGAGCCACAGCTAGACCACTTTGAGAATCTGGTGAAAGCTATGGACCCCTCCCCCCAAAAAATGCACATAAGCACATAAAGACGATAATTTTTATGTGCCTTGTTTACTGACCCCCTGAAGCCCATCCACGGACCCCAAAGGGGTTCATGGACCACAGGTTAAGAACCCTGATCGTGTTGTGAGGTGCAACAACTGAATAGGAGGCCTCGTTATAAGAATGGTGTTTACTAGGAGTCCAATCCCTTGCTAAAATGTTGAGTCGCGACCACCAAATAGAAGAAACTGATATAACAAAGTTATTTACTATGACCCCAGCACTGACGCAATCCCTTGTTAAAATGTTGAATCGCGATCACCAAATAGAAGAAACTGTTATAACAAAGTTATTTCCTATGACCCCAGCACTAACGCAATCCCTTGTTAAAATGTTGAATCGCAACCACCAAATAGAAGAAACTGTTACAACAAAGTCATTTACTATGACCCCAACACTGATGCAATCCCTTGCTAAAATACTGCGGTGTTACGACTGCTGACAGCATAAAAATAGTGACAAAGTCTCGCGCCAGCAGGACGGAGCCAGACGTGGACAACTCACCCATAGATGACGTCATCGTCCGAATCGTTCAGCATCGAGAAGGTTGGATCGTCCTTGAAGTGTGACTCTGAAACGAAGGGAAGGTCAAGCTCGTATTGTTAACACTGCTGTGGGTGGAACCACACCCTAACGAGACTTCATACAGCAATATATATATATATATATATATATATATATCAGAAGTAGATAATAGGAAAGGAGTGTGACTTCAATAAACAAGGGAAATTCGTCATTTACTAGCCTTAGAATACCTACGATTTACTATGCGTAACTCAACCAGATGAGACGGGATACTAGAGAAGCGTTGCCAAAAGGAGATGTTGATCCGAAGCACGTAAGCGCAGATCTTGCGCACAGTTCCGCGGCAAGGCGCACGCGACTGCGGGAACGTCCTACGACAGTATGCAGCGCTGGCAGCTATGGATCCGTGCGCCGAATGAATTGGCCGCGGCACGGATCCATAGCTGCCAGCGAACAGTTCGCAATTTTAGTGGGGGACACAGAGGGTAGACATTTGGGACGTGAACAGTGTTCACTTGTTATAAAAACATAATTTCTCTCTTCGTAACCGAGCTGTGTGACGCGAAATCACAGAAAGACTGACGAAATTCTCGCGTTTGCGAACCTTGCCCAGTAATAGAAATGGCTGCAAGGGCAAAGGCTATATAGACTGGGACTCGCTCCCACCTCGATTACCCATCGAGTGACTAAGCTAAGCCGAGACCACGTAGCAATACATGCACACACGCGCAACAACAACATACATCGCAATACATCGTATTATATGTTAAGACTCTATGCTATAGCAGTAAAAATAACCTGTATATAAATATAATTGGAACATTCAGCCTCAGGGTTTATTCATTTCTGTATTACATGACCATTATGAAATAGTTGTAATAGTGGGTTAATTTACGGTCCAGTACACTTACTATAGTTACTAACCTTAGCTATATCAGTCTATGGATCAGTATACAGCAAGTGCCGTACACTACAACTACTTGCAAGTACAACTTCCCGTCATATGATATTGATAGTAATGTAAATAACCACGATGACAACTGTACATGATCAGTGTATGACTGCAAGTCTGCACTGCAAGATCAAGGCTGCACTGCAAGATCATAGATTCGACAAGCTCCAAAAAACGGTATTGCTAGGGTTAGAATACTAGGGTGTATTGACGTTAGTCACACAGCCTGGTCAGGTTAAGATTCGACATAACACGGCTACCGACCACCGACCGGTATGTAAACAAATTTGTAAAGCTGCATCTACGCTTGTTACATACTTATTTATAGTCGTTAGTCTGCCCATAACAAAATTCGACTTTCCTTTTAATTAGATGACCTTCCGATGAAAAAAATTCCAGTTGCGGCTCGTCATTATTTAACGAATCAAACGACGAACAATAAGAAACTTTTCCATGGTTATAACAAAGACGCAAGACGCCATGCTATCAATACATGTGCATATAGACTGGTACCCGGTCGACAGTTCCACACGCTACACTACGTGAGTGTAGCGATATGCCGGAGTAAAGGTGGCGAACGGGTACCAGTCTACTATGCCTATAATCTCGGCGTTCGTTGCGCCGTCTATCGCACGCCATATGTACTACACTCATCAACAGAAACAAACAAAGAAGAAAGTGCAAATTCGTTTTTTACAGCAAAACGAGCGCGCCGAGTCGCCAAAAAAGTTATACGAGCATTTCAGGCAAATCTCAAGCTACATGGGTAGTGAAATCGGTCGTCCAATCGCCAGAACTGCTCAACTCAGCGAACTTGCTGCTTGCCTTATATATGTAAACCCGTTGAAGGTGATGGAATTGGGGCAGCGAAATCGTGTTAGAATGCCGCCAGGTGGCGTTGTCGCGCTTCGCGCGGATATCCGGCTGCAGACTGTCCAGCTTGAGCTCAAATCGTACACAGAATATTCGCCTAGCATCGTGCGAAATCGTTTCCTCGTATACACCCGCAATCCGGAGATTAGACTAAAACGTACGACACGATTCTCCATTCTGTTGCCAGATCAAATCCATAACCTGCCTAACTTGAAACAATAGGCAGCTACTAACAACTCTTGCGCACTCTTGTGCCCTCGGCGATACGGTGTGGCTCGCTGGAAGATTGGACATCGACGCAACACTCAACGAGCTAATCTTTGACCTAATTACAGCTGGTATGCCCCCCCCCCACGCACGCACGCCCACTGCAATCAGCAGCAGCTCCAGCTCTAATCTCCCAGCGAGCCACACCGCATCGCCGAGGGCACAAGAGTGCGCAAGAGTCGTTAGTAGCTGCCTATTGTTTCAAGTTAGGCGAGTTATGCGGGTTATTACACGGCGGGTTACAAGTTAGGCGAGTTATGCGGGTTATTACACGGCGGGTTACAAGTTAGGCGGGTTATGCGGGTTATTACACGGCGGGTTACAAGTTAGATGGGTTATGCGGGTTATTACATGGCGGGTTACAAGTTAGGCGGGTTATGCAGGATATTACACGGCGGGTTACAAGTTAGGCGGGTTATGCGGGTTATTACACGGCGGGTTACAAGTTAG